ATAGTACATGTAGACACGCCCTCTGTGTATGATATTAGTCCAAAGCCAGACTCATGACTTATCACATAGCTTATTGGGCTGGACACCAACAGAGTCAACAGCATTTCAGGCCAGGGTGACCCCACAGCTCGGCACTGCTCAGTATGTGTATGTACTCCAAATACCCTCCCACAAAGGATCCATGTGCTAATTATCCCCTATTTGTGGCTGGAATCAGGGGTGCCTGTTACAAGTCCTGGGATGCTCCAACAATTTATGTGCAGATGTGGTGCATGCCAGCCTGGTCCACCTTCATCTCATGGAGGGTCGGACACACTAATTATATGCACCAGGCTGAGATTGGTGCCAACAGAGAGATTCTTCGCAGGTTGGGGTATGCAGAGAAGAGAAGGGATTGTGTATCCTATTCTTTTTTGTTCAGCAGCATGTGTTCAGCATCCTGCTGTTTCTGTAAGGTTGTCAGAGGTTACCCGTTGTGATTGGTCTTTTATTTCAACTGTACTTATATAAGCTAAAACTCTGATAAGCCCAGAGACCATGCTCCTCCACTGCATCACCCCTTGAACAACAACCTATCTACCCCTTGTGTGAAAGCTACTGTACTCTTAACTATATAGACACCTACAGAGAGTATATAAAAGAGCTGTGGCTGTGATCATATCTACTGAGAGGTTGTGATATAGCTTCATTACTTGTCTGCTGGATAGGAGAGTGGATTTGCTACCCAAACACAGCAGGATGTACCAAAACAAAGTGTGATTTCTTTAGATTTGAGTTGTAACATGAATATCTTCCCTAATGAAGCCATGATGAGATTTTGCAATCGTTGCTCTGAACCTTATGAGCCTAAGTTATATACTTTGCAAGATTATTGTGTAAAGTCTTCACTAATTTTCACAGTGAATAGTTTTCAAAGCCCAAGGTCAATTTTCATAATACACTGTTTCATATATTCTACAATAGTATACACAGTAGTGTACATTCAGCTGTGCCACAGTGCATACAAATAAATGCAGCATATATTTTATGCAGTACAGGCAGAAAACATATGTTTCTGTTCAGAGAAATAGTAAATAATTTTTTTCTAGAAGTTGATTCAACCTGGCCACAGTGGAACATAACAGCAACCAACCATATAAACAGCAGCAGCTGGTCTTTTGTGGAAGCTTCCTTTTTATAATTTATCCCTTCTGAATAACACGAGGAAAAAAATCCATCTTGGTGCAATTTACCTTATCCTGTAAATTATTTCTTTAGATTTGATCACTGTTCATTTCAATTCACAATACTTTTTATTGCAATTTTATCATTACCTCATTTGGAACTATTGTTTTCTAGTGACCAGAACTAAAGAGGATGTATATTCCTCCAAGTTAGACGTGCCTAATATCTGTGCACCTGGTGCTAAGAATGGACCCAAAAGCTATGTAGTCCCCTTACTTTGGAGTAAGGAAGAGAACCTGAGGACATAAAAAAAATGCCTATAGGAAAAAGTTACCATGAGGTAGGCTAGTGCATAAACTTACAGTACATGTGCTACCCTGAAGGAAATTCATGGTAGCTTATACCACCCTCAGTGAGTGGTAAGCTGCATTGTATTCTCCATCAGGGCTCATGTCAGAGAAGATATCTTTTATTAGACCAACAAGATTTTTGCAAAAAAAAAAATCTTTAATTGCAAGCTTTTGGGCACAAACACCTTTCATCCGCCATAGGAAAAAAGATTGTAAAAGTTCTCCTGGGTAGAAATGAGAGTTCATAGGATTTCACAGAGGCGACAGTAGATGGAAAGCTCCTCTGGGCAGGCACTTCTTAGCTGGTGAAGAGTCTTTCAGCTCTCCTGTGAGATTCTGTTAGGATGCAGATTACCTTGAACCAAGGCAGGAGTAGTATCTCAGGTTTTCGATGGTCACAGTTGCTTCCCCCTTGGGAAAATATGAAGATTTCATTTCAAAATATAACAGAAATATTCTCCATGTGGCTTTCCATGGTGTCTTTCCATCATTTGCCTTTTATTAATAATTGGGTTCTTAGCCAGAAGGAGGGAGTCCTGAGTTTTAAGTATCTTTCAGCA